AATGCCCCCGCCCGCCCGCTGACCCAGCCTGCAACCAGCACCATACCTGGGTCTGCAGCAAAGGCACTTGGTGGAGGTAAGGAGCCCTCCACACTCTGCCATGATCGGCTGTTAGGAGCGGCTGGTGGTGAGGCATGGCTGCCCGCAGGGCGCTCTAAGCAAGGATGCACAGAGAGGAATTAAGTCACCCCCAAAAAGATGTCCTAGCTGTTTTTGGGGGGCTGAAAAAAAAAGACCCGGCCTTATTTTATGAGAAACATGGTACCAATCTGTAAATCATGAAGGTAGAAAAAATAGCAAACCAATGTTTAAGTAGAAAAGAAATCTAAAATTGCTTGTATTGTCCTCTGTTCTATCTTATCAAACATTTAATATAAAGAAATATATCTTCAAATGCAGAAAACTGTGCCAAAAAGAAAGAGTCAAGGCAAATATCATCCTGGAAATTGCAGGAATTAAATACAGTACATACAGGAACTGGATTAAATAAGAAATCTGTAAAAGGGTATTGATAGCATCAGATATAGGAACCATTATGGATGTCTCAAGACCAAAACCACAGAAATATAAGTAGTTTATTTACTGGGGTCTTTTGAGGGAAATTATGAGAATGGAGTTACAATTCCATGTGCCAGTTAATGTTCAAATATAAATCAGTTGCAACTGAACTAAACATTCTTATTCAGACCACTGTAACATAATAAGATACAGTAGAAGGAGCTGTATCACCAAAAGTACAATTGAAATGCTTAGCAATTACTCTATGGGCTGTCCAGAAAGCTTTCACATCAACTCAACTTTACACCTAGTTAAAATGGTAAAATTCATTCAAGCAGTTGTCTAGACTTGCATTCCAGTCCCACTATAGCCAAACTAGAGATATGTCCCAGAAGATTGTGTCCTAAGAAGAACCATCCCCGATATATTCCTCAGCACTTGTATTGGAGGAAGGAGCTATGCTATAAAATGCAAACTAAGTCATGTATACCTAAATACCTATATTAATATAGATATTTTATTAATTGTATATTAATAGTTTGTGCTTTCTTGACTAACCCATAAAGGGAAATACATATTTTACAACAAAATCGATACATTTTCTATTTGTATATTGCTCAGAGATATGTAAATCCATACAACAGTTACTGAATATACGTGGTAAGACTTTTAAAAAAATCAAGGTTACGTATATCAATAAATATAATGAAAAATAAACATCAATTTCATAGTTTGAAGCCACGAATAACACTCTAATAGCTATTTTCTATAAACTACTTGCTCTTGATTACAAGAACACACACACACACACACACACAATTTATATATACAGCCAAAATCTTTTTAGCTGGTGGAGGGAGAGAAAGAAGAAAATACAAGTGATTTCTGTAGGCACTCTCTTGCATCTGATTCATTCCCTCCCTCTTTGCTGAGTAAACAGATTGGAGAAGAAGGAATTTCAAGATTATAAGCAGGCACACAATGGGGAATATACTGGCTGTTTCCTGAGTGTATTCACAGCTGCCTGCAATAGTACATTGTTTTCAAGGTGAATTCCTCATCATGTGCCTGCTTACTCTCTTGTAAACCCTTGTTCCCCACTGAATGCAAAATACAAACATTAATTCCTTTCTTATTAATTATACCAACATCTGAGTGAGTATTCCAAAGGGTCAGGCAGTTTAAGAGGCAAACAAAAGCAAAAGGTGTGAAACTAATTGTCTTGTCAGTTTTGAAGTGGCTATCCTAGCATTGTTGCTGAGAGAAGAATTTCAAAGGGCAGGGAAGTGGAGAAAAGGAAAGTACAGTTCTGGCTAATAGTAAGTTGTCACAGTTGTTTACTACTTACTATTTCACTTAGCAGTCCCAACCCAACTGCGATCACTAAATGAGGACTCTTATATAGTCAAAGTTTGACTTTCACTTGGCATCTGACAATGTTACTCCAGCTGAGTCTGTGCTTCAGGATAGTCAGGCTAAAGAACCAGGAAGCCAGAATTCAATGAAGGCTGATCAGCCACAGGGATCTCCTGTTCAACTGGAACTGTTGGATGATGAGGCAACAACCTCCAAGCCCCAGGTCTAGACAAATATTAAGGTGACCTGAGGAGGCATCTCACTAAGAAAGGGCAAGGCATGTGTAATTGTAGCCAATTGGTTAACTAGATTTAGCTGCCCCTTTGCTTGTAGTCTGTGTTGGAAACATTTGTTTGACTTTCTAGTTCTTGTTTTTTGTTCCTGACACTTGACCATTGGACCAACTGACTACCTAATTTGGCATCCTGTGAGTCTTGGAATGTATTTGGCCTATGTTATTGTTTCTTGGACTAGTCAGGCAAGCTCTCTGAGACATTTGACTCACACTGCTGACTGTTGTTTGTCTAAAATTCAGTGCCAGTTTTGAATACTTGGGGGGGGGGGGGAGAGTGCATATCAGCAACCCTGAAATGGAACATTACCTGCACTGAACTATTACTGTTTAATAGTATGGGTAATCCATACCATGATGGATAAAAATTGGCAAAGTTTAGATTCTTATTACTACTAAAAATTATGTGTGAATATTAGCTAAAATTGCAATATAATTGCTCATTTAAAATGCAATATAATTTGCTCATTTAAAATTAAAATATTTTTAAAACTGAAAGAAATAATGCTCTTAAGGATTTCTTTTTCTAGTTCTTTTTAAACAATAAATGAACATTACACATAAAAAAACCTCCAACCAAAACCCTGTAAGCCATAGTTTGCCTCTCTCAAAAATGCAGCTTTAAAAAAACTGATTAAGCAGCTATTTCACTTAAGTTCTTGAAGATCTATAAGTTACTAATCTACTTTTCAATGATAAACAGTTCAAAATTTGTACTAGAGAAAGAATATAGAAAATGAAAGGGGTTTCTGGAATTTCAGTTCACTATTTTTCCAATCCTGAAAAACATGCAAAACTAACATGGTTATTTAGATCAAACCAATTATACAGTTCCTGTTTCCTGACAATCAATTTTCTAACAGCAGGCTAAATTTATAGGAAAGAATTCCATGTTTATCCATGCGATCACACGTATTAAACTGCCCTGCCATATGTCTGCCCCTCTGCTTAGAGTTCGTACTAATAGGAGCCACAAACCTAGAAGATTTGAGATGATTTTGCTATATCGTAGATGATGGAAAAGTGCAGTGAATGTAGGAGAGGTAATAGGTTATGCTATATCATATTTTGCTATACATCTCATATATGGCTATTACACGTCACATCAAGATGTAAACTGAATTTTTGGTCTCACAGAACACCTTATAACTATATGCTTTCCCTGAGTATATTTTGAAAATTAAAATAGAAATTCATCATGGAATCAGATTTGAAGAGTTCCTGTTGCAGATCAGTAGCTCCCCAAAATTAACATAAATTAACACTCTTCTACAGACACGTGTTTTTTTTATTGCAGTAAGTTATCTGCTATCAATAATCCTATTTTATACTTATCTCATTTTTAATATAATTTTTGTCCAATTCAAAGACTTTAAATTTCATGGTTTTATCTATACCATTATTTAAAGACTAATCGATATATATAAAAAATGTATCTATCATCAGCTGTTTTATTAAATGCTATTATTAAATTAGATGTTGAATTGCTAACCTGAATAAATACAATGATAAAATATAGGATTCTTTGAAATAAAAAGGGGGAAAGTGCTAGAAATACATAAAAATATCAACCTCACCATTATTGCTTGTTCTACTTAAAGAAAAATAATTCCTAAAATTTATGTATTTATCAAGAAAAAACTTTATCTTTTTAACTTTGGCTACAAACTTCAAATCTGCTTATGAGTTTTATTTCTACCTTTATGTAAAATGTGTCTTATGAGAACAGTGTGAAAATTACTTTTAATTAAAGATAAGAATCTGAACAGCTAACTTACCAATTATATCATCCTCTGTATAATCTTCTGTGTGAACAGGAACTTCTGTAATTTAAAGATTTTTAGTCAATTATTATGACACAAGCTTACAGATGTTATTACAACATTCTAGGATTACTAAAACAATCTTTTCTCAGAAATCAAATGGCACAAATATGTTTAAAGTCCTTACATGGCAAAGATATTCTGCCAAAACTGGGTTTATTCAAATAGGATAAAATTCCTACATAGAAAGGAAACAATCCATAGACAGATCGTTATATTGAATAGTTATATCAGCAATTGCCAATTATTACTATTTACACTTAAGGTGTCTTTTTACTGTTCATGGATAACTTCTTGTGTACATACTAGTTGATAAAAAGTAACTCAAATGTATATTGTTATAAAATAATTCTGCTTATATCATATCAATATAAAAGGAGAAAATATATTTACATATCTTTGCAGCAGTTTTGGTCAGATCCAGTTACTAGTGCTATTATATGCAAAGTAATAGTTTGAACGGACAAATATTGTACTAACCTGTATCATGTTGTTGAGCAGCCACATGATCTTCTGTATGTTCATCCTTGTGTACTATGAACAAGTTGGGGGGAAATGGTATTTTTAAATTATGTACACTTGCTTCTTGAAATTGGCTCAGTAATTTCAATAAAAGAAGCTAATGTGCAATAAGTATTAACAGTATATGTAACCTTATTCTGAATTAGAAGGGATAGATTAAATTATACAGAGTATAGCAAAATAAAAAACAGAGATCAAAAACAAGATAGAACACACTTGTTAACCATAATACCCCAACCAAGATAGTGTCTGGTCTAGTGGCACATTTCACCTTTAACATTAACAGAAACTAAAAGACTCAAGTCAGGTGGAAATGGGAATGACTACAATTTATAAAATTCCCCCCCAAAACCCAGTATTCACTTCTTGTTTGGGGAAAAGTGCCCCATAACGACCTCTCAATGACCATGCATTTGCTCAATATCTGTGCATTCACTTAATGACAATGCTGAGTGGTTTAAAGATTGCCACAAAAAGTCAATGAAAAAGTTTTTTTAAAAGGTCTCTGAAGATTTCTCTGCAGTGGCCCGTTTATGGAACACTGGATGATTAGAATGAAACCTGTTAGTCTTTTGTAAGGCCCTAAAAACCTGTCTATGTTCCACACCCAGGGTACTAAATGTGTTAAGGGCCCCATTTCCTTGCTATATTGCTAATTGGCCAACAATCTTGGCTCCTATCTGTATTTAATTAGTTTTTATTGTTTTAAAATATTTTCAATATTTCAATTGTAACATGTTTTTTGAATTGTAAGCTGCCCAGAATCATTGACTGAAATGAGTGGCTATAGAAATTGAATGAATGAATGAATGAATGAATAATAAAATTGGGTCAGACCCCTGTTAATCTGCTTTATGACTGTCACCATTGATAACTGCAGTAAGCAGGCTCCATTACGGTTGTAAGTCAAGGACTATCTTCATTGGTTCCAAATTATACAGTGAAGCTTTCTTGTAATACTGCATTTTTTATTCCAAAATTGTTTGTATAAAATGCATATAAATGAACTTAACAACATATTTACAATAATTAATAATTTCTTTTTCAATTTTTTATCTTAAGATAATTAATAGATATATACCTGACTGAATAGGTTCAGTAGCAGAATCTGAAACATCTGCATCACCTAAGGAAATAATAACATATCTATTAATAAATTATTATGGAAAACTCATAAGGCACAATAAGGCATATTTCAACAATGATTTTTTTAAATAAAGTTTTATTTGGGTTTTCATACATACAAAATACAAGTAAAACATCTTTTTTGAAAATAGCATGGTCCCGGGTTGAACTTCTTTATACAGACACAAAACTCAATTTCATGCTCCTTTTTGTGTTCTATTCCATATCTTATACTATTCTATATTTTCTATATAGTTTTTCCCCTCTTTTAATTTTCTCAATTTTATTTTGATTATCTCATCTCAATTCAAATCATTATATTTATACTTTTGTCTGTTCTGTTTCAATTTCATATTATCTTTTCTCATTAAACAAGTTTTCTCCTGTAGTTATTAATTGGAGTATGACACCTTTATATCTTTTAATTGCATCCATTCAACTCTTATTTAAACTTCAATATATACCTTAAGGTTATGACCTTCAATATAATACATAATACATAACTTCCAATCGAATTCTGCTTGGAACATTCTTATAATACACACTATATTCTTTTAAAAAAAGGATTATAAATATATGTAATTATAAACCCTCATTCCATTCCAATTCAGTTCTATCATTAATAATCATTAAAATCTTAACATCTTTAACATTTCTTTTCAATTAAATATCATACTTCCTTAAAGACATGTATAATCTCCATAATTAATTTTTCCCTTATTTCTCTTCACATGTTTTGTAAATCATTATTCATTTCATTACGTTTATTTATAATTACAATAGCTATTTTATCAAACATTTTAATCATACATTGTTGCATATTTTCTAAAATTATTTCTATTTCTAATATAACAATACTATCTTACGTACCTTTGCAGAATCCCTTTTTCCATTAAATTTTCACCCATTATCTCTAAATAGGCCCGGTTTCTCTATAATTTGGTTTTCCCAATCTTAAACTTTCCATTCTCTTTCCCACCTTTCCTTTTTTCCCCCACCTAAGATTACTTGTTCATTAAAGATGGCTTCTTCTTTGTTGCAATCTTCTTGTTCTGCAGGCATTTCTTGTTGTTTCTCATAGTTCCAAATCTCCATTTCTAAGAACTGAAATACGAAGCCAAAAGAACCTCTCCCTTCTTGTGCACCTTCTTTGTACTTTTAAAGTTCCATTTTCAGTTCTTCCAAAAGTGGAGCCATTTTAAACAGTTTTAAACAACCACCCGATTGATTTAGTCATTCAAATACAATAACCAAAAATCCAGAGATCATCAAGTAATCCAAATAGTCCCAAGCTGTTTCTTCTTATTTCTTTTTCCACTTTCTCTTCCTGGGGTTTTTGTTGCAATGTTTCAGTTAAAATGTATCTTTTGGAAGTCTTGTTGAGATTTTGCTGTAAGTTCTTTTTAATTCCAGGCAGTCTCCTCCCTTCCAGATCCTGCCCTTTTATTCTTTTTCTCTCCTTTCCTGTTTTCAAAAGCTTTTGATTATCCAGAAATCTTTATTATCCCTTTGACTTTTTATTTTCAGCATTAAATGCCTATTAATGTCAAAGTGGATTTTTTTCCAATTTCTTGCTTAAGTCTCTTAGCTGTCAGTATAGGAAAAGGAGAAAAAAACCCAAATCTTTTCCCTTTTCTCTCTCCTTTGCTGCTTAAAAATCTTCTTAGAGAACAATGTTATTGTTTTTTTTTAATAGTTTCAGTTCCAGGGTAGCTTATTTGTTGCTTTTGCTGTTTGACCCGGTCAGCCAAAACTTTCTCTTCTTATCTTCTTCCTGCACATTCTTTTCCGGTCGAGTTCTTCTTTGTGGTGGTCATTTCTGACCACCGCTACAACCGCCTTAGGGAAAGGGAGTATGGCCAGCTGGGGAGGAGAGATGCGGCTCTCCTCAACCCTGCAGGCAGTCTCCCCCTTCTTCACCACCTCTACGGGGTGGCTTAGCCCCGAAACCAGCTGGCTCGGGGCGCTCCAGCGGTGAGCACGGAACAAAACCTCACAGAGAGGAGGCTTCAGTCTGTTGCCGAAGAAGCTCTAACCAGAAGTCCAACAATGATTTTTTTTTTTAGATTGTTGCTGAGATGAATAAAGTCATGTCCTTGACATCCAAAATGGCCAATGTGATGGATAAGGCTGTTTCTATAATCTTAGTGGTAACCTTTGTATATATTTCTTTATTTGATATAAAGCTGCACATCTCAAGTTGTAGCATTTTAAAACACTATAAATAACAGAATATAAAAATATAGTTTTCCTTTTTACTGATATATGTAAATATATTTTATTAATATATGTAAAATATATTTAAATTTGGCCATAATTTTCATCTCAGTTTGGTTTGAACAAGTAATAGGAGGAAAACCAGTGCCTGTCAGGTTGATTATTCAATTTAATGTGTATTCAACAATCCTTTAAAAAAAGAACATTTCATCTATTTCTCTAAACTTCAAGTGCTCAAATATTTCAGCACATTGAAAAATCAACTACTTCTGGTAAGAGAAAGAATAGTATTTTTACATACAACAGTGTTTACTTTTGGGGACCCAGGGAGGGATGGGATGGCTTCAGTTTATGTTCTATGTTCTTTCACTAGAAATAATCACCAATACTTTCAAGGAACATTTATTCTTCATTTTCTTTTGTGTAGCTCTATTCCATGTGTGCTGATTTTAAAATACAACCTATTCAATTTCATGAGGCTGGACTTCCAGAGAAGAAATAGTGACCTGGAATAATTCTTCACTAAAAGCAGAACTGATGACTGTAGAGGAATGAAGAAGTGGCGAGTGGGCTAGCTCTTTGTAATCCTCTCTGAATAAAGGGCACTTGAGATTACCCACGAATGCTCCACACAATACAAGGGTGATTGGAACTTCAACTTCTCTAAAGATAAGAGAATAGCCATCTTGTTCAAACTATATATTCCATATATTCTGAGCATCATAATTACATGCAAAATGCTTAATCATGTGTCATAATGACATCTGTAACTGTGGTTTCAAAGGCCTTTTTTTAACATGTCATACCTGACATAGATAAAAAGAAGTGGCGTTTCAGTTAAATGATTGCAACCCCATTTAGATTTTTTTTATTCTTCTGAAGCAAATGCCCTGCGAACCATATCACTTGGATCTTGCTCATCAGAAAATATTTGACCACACATAATACTTGCGTTGATTTTACCTATTTTGCTTGTGTGAATCTTTGCTTTAAAATGTGGTGGGAGTAACCAGAAAATGAAAGCTAAAAATAAATATTTCCTCATAATGTATTGCCCTAAAATCCTTAGAAATAAAAGTGACCAATTTATACTTACGTTCATGTATTTGTTCTGGATGGTCAATTGTTTCTGTAGATTTATTGCAACAAATAAAAATAAAAATAGAAGTTTTAGGAAAATATAACTAACAAAATAAAAACATTTATGAAAGTAGCTTATTTTAAAAAGTATAAAGCTATAGCTGGAAGCACTCTATACGTAGCGTTTTCAGTTGATTGTATTACTGATGTTTGAAGTATTTTATTACTTATATTTCTACCAGGAAGATAGTACTGTTCAAGAGATATTTATTCAGTATGTCCTTGCTTACCAATGTAAAAGCAGATTTTTATATATTTTATATTTTTATTCAATCTATGTATTTTATTTCACTTTATGAATCCACATAAGAATCTTTAATTAATGGATGTTTCCTATATTTTCTACTCTATACAGGATATGTAGTCATCATACAATATTAAATAAGTAAGAATATGTACAATTTCTTGTTTCTACTGTGCTTTTTAGTAGGAGTTGAAAGTAAGCATTGCAGCTGCTACTAAGTAGGGTACCTGAAATCCAGCAATAAATGATTCTGTAACAATTACAATTCCTTGTTCTAATTGTACTATTATTTCTTCACTTTGCCTATGTTTATAGAAATGTTTAATTTATTGTCAGACACAAACCAATACAGGCTATTAAAATAAAAAAATATTATAAGTGTTCAATTAAATGTTACGTATCTGAAGTAAGAGTGCCATTACTATCTATTTGAAAACGCACAGATGAAGAATATATTCTGTGCTATATAGAGTTAGAAAACAAATGGATTCAGAAGGCCACAATTTGGAATGTAACAGCTTGCATTAAAAATATTACTTTTCATTAAAAAGAAGGAAAGTTGAAATTGGTTATCAGTGCTCTGTGTCAAATTTAAAAACAAAATGTAAATCAATTAGAATTATAGCAACAGAACGCTTCCTATCATTGACTAAAATGTTGATAACGTTTTCTTGTAATTGTAAACTTTCAGAAAAACTGAAAGTTTTTATTCTATGTGAATACATAGATCACACATAAAAGAGTCAGTGTACTTGTTGAGGTATTCCCTCAATATTAACTTATTTTTTAAAACTGCAGACGAATGTATTAAATGTATTTCTTGGTCAATTTACATCCAAATGTTGAGTAGACTAGACGTAGATACTGTAAACATTTAATGCACAGTAAGTAAATAGGAATCTACATACTAGTATGCTCAGTGAACTCTTCTGTCTCTAACTCTAAAAAGAACAGATTGCATATCTTAAAATTAAACATCGAATGGTAAGTTGCTATGAATTAAAATTTTCTGCTATTATAGACGCTTTGCTCGTGAAGTCTGAAGATGGCGAGTGGGACCTCGTCAAAACCTCGCCAAGATACTCTCAATCTTACACAGGAAAAGACCTGAACATGCCAAGACCTGCATATATATGTATATGTATTCAGCTTTGTTTGGGTATTTTTCCACATCATTATAGTTGTGCTTTTAAAGTTGTAGCAACGTTTCGGCAGAATCTCATCTGTCACCATGAGGCTTCTGTATACAAACACTATACAGAAGCCTGATGATGGCAGATGAGATTCTGCCGAAATGTTGCTACAACTTTAAAAGCACAACTATAATGACGTGGGAAAATATCTGAACAAAGCTGAATACCATACACAATACACACACACACACATACACACACACTGTTTACAAGAATATGTTATGCATTAAAAGCAAAGTATCTGGAATTAAATGGTGAATGCCATTTCCTTGTGTCAGTTTCAACATACTTCACAACACATTGGGATTCTTTGGGAAAAAGTAGGAGGATACCAAGATCTTTGCCCACAACATTGTTTCTGGTTGGTTTGGCATAGTAATTTATTTGCACTGACATATTAGGTTTTGCAAACTTGATGAGCCAGCTCTTTCCTATCCACTCAGCGCTCTGTCATTGTTTTTCTACATCACTCTTATGTGTTCAGCAAACAAAACAGATCTCCATCAGCAGAAGATACCAATCAGCTGGAAAAAGACTATGTAAATATCATATAATCACAGAATTTATATGGAGTCAAATGGGGAAAACTTTGGGAACAGATAAGTTAATTAGCATTCACTGAAAGAGACTTAAAATATGGCATTATTTATTTAATATGACAGATGAATGGGAAACAATGCCGTGCTGATAATCACTACTGAAATCCTATTAGAAAACCATGAAAAACCATACCTTCTTCTTCCACATGGTCAGGCTGTTCTGTATTTTCTGGAGCAGATTCTGCAATTGAAAAGAATATTAAGATCTGTAAGATACATGGTGTTTTGCAAACCTGTTCATAAAGTATACCCTTTCAGAGGTATTATGACCAAAAATGGAAATCATGACCCCCTTAAGTATCATGATTTCTACATGGATGAAAGTTGCTGTTCTTTCACAGAAGTGTTCCTCACTTGTACTTGCCACCTAGAAAGTGTGTTACAGTATTGATTGTAATTACTATTTTTTGTTTTAATATATAAGATTATTTTCTCCCCAACTGTTACTTACCATTCCACACACTTATACATAATTTCACATTACTAATTCTATTTGATTCACAAAACTGGAAATGACCAGACTCTCTAGGAGACGCTTAAAAGACTGAGTGCATATGCTTTCTTTCCTGCTCAGTCATATTCTTCAAACAACTTATCACAGTTTTATAATACCATGAAGTAACTTTTGGTTCTCCCAAAGATGAATCTGTTAAGAAAAATTAACTCCACTTCTTCAGGCTTAACATTACTGACAACTAGTAAGGAACATATTTGGGAACATGAACAATTCTCTTTCCATGTTCTTTCCAAATATACAGTCTGTGTTGTGTGTGTGTGTGAAATTTTTCATTCTTCCTTTTAAGATAGAGCTAAGCAAATTAAGTTTGAAATCAGTGCATGCAACCGAAGGGAGTTTTTTCTAAATTCAGAAAGAAGTCTTAGTCCCATTTGCTAGGTAGAACAACATTAACTTTTATGACCAAAAACAAGTAAGATACTTATTAGTCTTGATCACTCAAATAGAAAAGCCAGGTTATACAATTAAAAGATAGTAAAAGAAAATTATTGACAGATCTATAATGTACTTTTAACAATTTACTTTTACACATCATTAAATATATTTCACTTATATTAATATAAATCAGACATACCTGAGATTTCTGGCTCATTTGTGTCTTCTTCCACGTGAGAATAGTCGTTTAAAACTGAAAATTAGGAATGCCATATTATATTACAAAAACCATTAATATACTGCCAGGACAGGAGATGTTTAATATTGCTGCCACAAATCTTAAGCCGTTAGTTTAAAATTTCAGCGAAATAAGGTGACAGGAAAGAAATCTGTATCTGACTCAGAAGAAAATGTTTTACAAATCTCCAACTGTAGCAATTTTGCATATGTGAGATTCAAGCACTGACAATTTTTGTATAGATCGCCCATACGTGTATACCTTTTCCTAGTGTACTAATTAACCTTTTCTCAGTCAGCAATTTTACATAAAATAATATAAAGTAAATTTATTTTAAGTCGTAATTGAATTGTTGAAATTCTTTATCAAAACTTTAAATTCAGGAGTCCTTGGTCCTTTAGATTCACTTTTTTTCTATATAAAAATTTCACTGAAAGTGCTGAATATAATTTGCAATTCCTGCATATTCAGTACTTAGTCACTTTGTGGCACTAGAAAGTTATTAGTTTATTTATTAATTTAAAACACTTTTATATAAGTCCATCTTATATCTAACTCTTCTATCAAATTATGACAGACATTAGATACCATCGGTGTCATATTCTTCTTGATCCTTGGGTTGGTAGTGATTTGCAGATTCTGAAAATAAAATGTTTCTTTTTAAATATGTACAAAGATTACAGAAAATACTGCAAAATTTCAAATTTACTAAATTAAATTAATCTATAAGTTCCAAACATAGAGGCCCATTCTATATGATAACTGGTATTAAAATTCAAGGATTGTGAACGAGTCTCAGAACTATGCAAGTTTTCTTATAATTCTTTTTTCTTGCATTTGAATACAACCAGGCCTTTATCTTAGTGTAAAATAAATTCACGCATGAATCCAAATCCGTGCAAAGGCACTCCTAAATATGTATGTATGTATGTATGTATGCATGTGTGTATGTATATATGTGTGTGTGTGTGTGTGTGTGTGTGTGTGTGTGTGTATATATATATATATTCTTAAGTTTTCGCGGGTACTTACATGTATGGCATTCGGCTTTGTTCGGATATTTTCCCACGTCATTGTAGTTGTGCTTTTAAAGTTGTAGCAACGTTTAGTGTTCAGATGAACACTGTACAGAAGCCTGATGATGGCAGATGAGATTCTGCCGAAACGTTGCTACAACTTTAAAAGCACAACTACAATGACGTGGGAAAATACCCAAACAAAGCTGAATGCCATACATGTAAGTACCCGCGAAAACTTAAGAAAACATATATATGTATATATGATATATAAAAGCATATATATGTTGCCTTAATACATACATAGATACACACATACACATACAAATTATTATACAAATACAATACATAGACATCACAAAGGTTTAAGTGAATGATTACAACAAACTCAGAGCTACATACATCTTAAACTTTAAAACCTTCAATGCCTCTCTGAATTGGTTCAGAAAATTAAATGCTACATAAATATCTAATAAATATGGTTATTTTTCTTCACAACTGAGATACCTTCTTGGGTAGAACTTGTTTTCTCTGTTATTTCAGGTATTTTGTCTTCTTTTTCTTTATCATAACTCTGTTCTGTTGTGGGTTCTTCAGATAGTTCATTATTGTCTTCTTTTTCTTCCTCCTCCTGAAAATCTGTTTCTTCATGGTGTTCATCTATTTCACCTTTTTCTTCATCTAGTTCACCTTTTTCTTTTTTGAAAAAAAAGAGACGACTTTGAATTCTAGTAAACACCCTTAATTTCATGAAATCAAACATCCATTTAAAACAGTAACAGAAATTGCATCTTTCCTAATAAAAAAAGCATAAACAGTGATGCTTAAATTTTAAACCTGACAATTTTCAATATTTCAATATAATTTTCAATATTTTTAGTGATTTAAATATAGTCTGTTCTCCACAAAAATCATTAAACTATTCTGTACATTTTTGTGTATATTTTTCTATAATCTGTACTTGGTACAGATTACTAAATACCCCTTACTAAAGGGTATTAAAATTAAAATTAAAAAGGGTAATTTTGGCATCTTAGTGATTCATTCATTCATTCATTCATTCATTCATTCACTCACTCACTCACTCACTCACTCACTCACTCACACACTCACATTGTATGTCCATTACATAATAATAGAATAAGGGAAGTGGGAATGGATATTCAAAATATTTCTAGCAGGAATACCAGATTCTGTAACAGCTTTGTTCCCTATGCCATCCACCTGGTAAACTCGCAAGAATTGTTTTTGTCACCATGTACATATATACATCCGAACTAGACTGTGTTGTTTTTCTGTGTCATATATTACAGTATATGTGAGTATATACATAATTTTGTATTTATTTATTTAGTCATGTTTATGTAGCGTATATTGAGATGGTGACTCTTTTGAGCTGTATGCAATGAAATTTCATGTTAATGTATGCTAATTAGTGTACCTTCAAAGTGACAATACAGTTATTATTCTATTCTATTCTACATTGGAGGTTTCTAGTATAATCCCCTGCTCAAGCAGGAGACCCTATACTAATTCAGGCTGTCCTATCTTTTCTTAAAAACCTCCAGTGATGGAGCATCCACAACTTCTGGAGGGAAGCCTTTCCACTGATTAATTGTTCTGTCAGGAAATTTCTCCTTATCCCAATTGTGATCTTACCAAGGCTTTATAAAAACTTTACGCTTCTTGTTCTGCCCTCAGGTGCTTTGGAAAATAAGTTGCCCTTCCCTTTGGTGTGACAACCCCTTAAATATTGGAAGATTGCTAGATATACCCAGTTCTTGAAACCATCATATGGTTTAGCCTCCTAATCATCTCTGTATTCTTCTATACACTCTTTGTAGAGTCTCATGTTTTTTTGTTTTTGTTTTTGTAGCATGGTGAACAAAACTGGATGCACTACTCCAAGACTAGCCTTACTAAAGCAATATAAAAAAATACTAACACCTCATGTGATTTTGATTCTATCCCTCTAGCCTAGAATTGTGCTGGATATTTGGCAGTTGCACTACATTGTTGGCTTATACTTAAATGATTGTCCACTAGGAGTCCTAGATCCTTTTCTGAAAGATACTGCTGATGAAGCAGGTGCCAACTATTCTATTCCTGTTAGTTTTCTTGTCTAAGTCTTACTTTTCTCATCAGTGAACTGCATCTTGTTGGATAGGACCCAGTGTTCAAGTCTGTCAAGATCCTTCTGGAACTTAAGCCTACCTTCTAAAGTGTTGGCTACTGCCCCCCAGCTTGATGTCACCTGCAAATTTGATGAGTTCCCCTTCTATCCCCTTATCTAAATCATTTATGAAGCTATTGAAGAGTATGGGGCCTAAGATAAAACCTTTGGGTACCCCACTGCATACTTCTCTCCATGTAGTTTCATTGAGGACTATATGTTGAGTGCAGTTGATCAGACAGTTACATACCCGTCTGGTAGTGATGCTCTCCATCTCACATTTTTCTATCTTGCCAAAAAGTGGTCTACTTTGTCTAATACCTTATTGAAGTCCAAGTACGAATAGATTATGCCAGAAACATTTACTCTTATCATGGGAAAGTTCTACAAGCTATGCAAAGACAATATTTTTCCACCTCAGGAAGAAATAATTGTTAAAGCAACGGAGGGATAAACAGAAAGGTATGTTATAAACTCTCTTACATAGATCAAAGTAGTGGCAGACTATTTTTCTAAAAAAAGGAAGAATCTACACATTTGAAAAAAAATGAATCTAGGATACATTCATACCAAGTTGTGAGTCAAGAACTTCATGTAGTAAGGCCTCAATTTCATCTTCAGGTTCTGTTTTAACATGTACGTGTTCTGCATAAGTTTAGAAAATATATGAACAATTACTGAAAATGAAATAACAGAAAATGGAAAATAGGTACCTAGAGAAAAATTAATATATTTTATCCCTAAAATAATTTGTAATTGTCAGTCTTTCTCAACTATGTAATCTATGTTTTACACTAGCATTTCAGATGTTGCCTTTCCGGTTCATTCTACTATTTTTAAATGATTCTTACAACTTCTTAAATATATTTAAAAGCTTCTTCCAATGATCTGAGAAAACTAAAAATTGACACATATATCTGACCTCAAAACAGCCACACAACTTGCTCTTTGGATTTTTCTACCATTATTTACACCTGCTTCAACTTTGTCCAGAGCTTGGAATAAGTTGAAACAAGATTAAATGTGATATCATTTTCAAATTTTTTAAAAATACAAAACATTTGCATTTGTTTTTAAAAAATGAAAATATCACATTTAATCTTATTCAACAAATATTTTCTTTTTATTGTGTTCCATATGTGTATATGTGTGTGTAAAATGCTACATTTTTATTCATGTAAGCATTTGGCTACCAATTCATGTATTTTGCAAATGTGTATATTAGTAGAAATCATAATAAAAAACTTCAGGTGAAGAAAAGACAGTAAATTGGATAAGGCAACTAATCTCAATCCATCCATTTTATAGTGTAAGCAGTTTTGCTATATAGGGCTTGGAATGGAATTTGTTACCTAATGTAAAAATGTACTCCTGAAATTTTTATCTTAATACATTTCTAGGTTGTATTTTGACATATCTAAGGATGAGCAAGCATAGCCTACAAGAAATACTTAATTATAGCTTATCTTTGATAAGGCAACAGGTTTTAAGGGAACCTTAAGATCTGTGAATAGATTCCAGGATTAAAATAGTGTATCAGTATGGGGCCAAAGGTAAAAATAGAATTTATGTTTCCAACAAATTACTGTATCCCATGAGCACTATATTAATATGGCTATGTGATGTTATGTAGATTACTATATTTTTACATGGAGATTTCCTGAAAATTACTTAGAAATTCCAACAACTGCAGATTCAGTCACCTTTCTTCCTGATTTACAATGGTTGCCAATTTATTTCAAAGCCCTCTTTAGTTGTTACTTTATAAAGCTTTGAATGGCTTTAGTCCAAGTATTTGCTAGAATGCCATTTCCAATATGTACAGACTGGACATTAAAAGCATTTTAATTTGGAAGGTGGCTTGCCTTTTAGCTCCACCAATGAGTAAGGCCTAAGAGCGATTATCTAAGCCAGAACCTTCAAACTTGTATATTCTTGCTATACAATTTGCGGCTTTTGAAAATAATTCTAGCATTTTCATCTTTGCAATTAGTCAAAATTTCTACATTCGAAATTTTATTATTAATTTCAGCAAATCACTCTCGTCATGTAATATATATAAAACATACCCACAATAATAGCCATTTTTAAATGGGCCATCTCCTCAATGGTGATTCTTTGTATATGTCCCTATATTAGTAAATTTAAGTAGGATGTTTTATTGATATTTCAAAGCATCTATTTAAAAACTCTTTATCATTTCATGTATAACTATTAACTAAACTATTAAATTAACAATTAAATAGTTATACATCTTAGCCAATTTCATCTAACTGTAGCTGCCATTTTGCATCTGAAATAGGCATTATATTTGACTTTCAATTCATTTCTTTGAAATATTGATTTTGGAATTATTTCTGAAGATTATATCAATCAGGAAAAAAATTCTTCACTGCCTTAAAAAAATAACTAAAAACAAAGAGTAAGCTAAATAGAAAACACTGTAATATCTGAAAAAATTCACGGGAAGCACAGAATAAATATTGTAATTTTTCAATCATCGCAAAATGTTGTAATTGCAGATCTCATATTCTAAGAGTTTTGTATTATTAAGGACTTACCTGTTTTCACATGTGGCTTTTCTGCAGGTTGGATAACCTCTTCAGCACTTCTTGGCATTGACTGTTCTGGGACAGATCTTTCCTTAAGTCCTGCATTGTTTAGTTATAAAGTTAACTTTAATCTCTGCATCAATATTTTGATCCAATTAGGCATCATTATTAGCGAACCACCCAGGGTGAGATGGGAGGTGTAGAAATTTAATTAATTAAGATGGGGACACCAAACGCAGTGAAAAATACTTACCACCTCCAGAAAGTCATGTCATCTTCAATTTAAGTTTTAAACATACATTTAAAAATTTTAATACATTAAAAATATTATAGAAACTATTTAAAAGGAATTGCTATGTGCATTCACTAGCTTTATTTCCAACTTCCTTTGAGCATTTTGTATATTACCAAACTGATTTCTAATATAGATACCTAGAATACAATGAGAGACATTAAAAGACCACTGTCTCATGGAAATCTCTTTAAAATTATGGCTGTATGCATGCATGATTTTGTGAGGTCAAATATCAACCAGCAGTACAACTTCATTTAATATAACTGAATTTGTTATCCCAACATTTTCTAGCTCTGTCTCTCTTATCCACTGATGAACAAAATACAATAGATTAAAGGATGTTATAGTAGATCTCAACCTGGTGGAAGTGAATAGAAGAAATTCTTTGCTTCACTTAACGTAATTATTCCCGAGGTTTCTTGAGCATTGGAGATGATGAGTTATATTCATACTGCACACCCAGCAGCAAAAAATACAGACAAAAAGGAGCAATGTACATAGCACGAAGAATGATTATATACTGTACTTCTATAGTTAAACAGGAAAGAGAAATAGCTAAATTTTCAATGCTCCCATATATAGCAAATTCCCAATGTGCAATAAGCCAGAATACATTCTGATTTTTACTATCTTTTATCTTAAACTATTGGGAGTAGTTTATGACCCACATATTCAGCAATTGTTCAAAATTACAACAATGCTTAATAAGATTTACAACCAATCCTCATAATTACAGCCATTGCAGCATCCCTGTGGTAACATGACAGCAATTTGGTGCTGGCAATCAACTCACAAATACTGCAGCATCCCGTTTTCACATTTGCAATTTTCATCACCAACTTCCAATAGGCAAAGTCAATGATGAAACCAGCAGAGTCAATAAAGGATTATATTTGTAGCTCAGGGTTAGAATAGGAGGTCCTTGGTGCTCAGACCTTGGTTGTTTTCTTGTGGATGCCAATGATGATGTTACTTACTTTGAGTAATGAAACATCTGCAAGAAAACAACCAAACTCAGAAAGCACCAAGGACTCCTCACTAGCAGGAGGTTGTAAAAAGCGATCACATAAAAATGCGCTTAATCACTATGCAGGATTTGTATAACGTTAACTGGAACTGCAGCAACTTCCACTGTAAGTCAAGTTACATGCCACACCATGAAAGAGTTGCCATTCCTAATTACTACTATCTGTATTGCTACCTGTACTTCTTAGATAGCTGATTTTTAAGTAAATATTCTAATACTGAATAAAAAGGAATTGAACAATTCTTCTGCTCAGATGTTTTTATTGAATTTCATCTCTTCTAATAAACAAACAGGAACATATTTCATTACTTTATTTCCAAGAGGATATGAATTATTTTCAGTGTACTACATTCCAACATAAATGTCATAAAAGTCAAAATTCATTCAAAAATCTTTAAATTCTTCAAAAATGAATTAAAAATATTTACAATGAGACTCAATATACTGTCTATACATCTAAGTAATCAGGTGCCTTCCATTTATTACAGAGCACAGTGTCTACAAGTCCTTGCTAGTGGCTAGGCAAAAATACCTTTTGAAAATATATTTGGAAGCAAATGACTATTCCTAAATGTTTTCTGAAAACGTTATATAACCTTTCTCTTCCCCGACAAATGGCATCACCACTGGCTCATGTACACTGCATGTTCTGAAATTTTCGAAGAGGTTTCTATGCTATGAAATTCTTTTCTATTCCTTATTTGACAGCAAAACATACGTTACAGAAATACTAAGATCGACATGGTTGCATTTTATTTATTTTGTTCCCCCTTATCTAACTCTATTTCAAGTTAATATTTTCATTTAAGAATTTGTATCAAACAACTAAATTAATACTATTATATAAATGCATTTCCTCAGGCACACACCCAAATAATATTTTTAGCTAAATCATTAAAGCTACCTTCTCAAAATAAAAAATGCACTATTTTGCATTCCTTTCTAAATTGCATATATGTAGTTACTATTTTTCACATCATCACCTGAAATATAATAATTTATGCATTGCAAATTCAAAGCCATTATGGAAACGTTTGCTTTATCTTCATGTTCAAAATGTTAACCAGTTAAAGTACTTCCGAAATGCTGTCTGGATATCTCCATTATTTTTTCATATAAGTTTCTAAAGTACATCTTTTTTTCTGTAAGGCTTTCCTTGATGGAAAGGAATTCTAAAAGTCACTAATTACTTTTTGTACACAATGACTCTGTTCAATGGTTTTTGTTTTTTTTAACTGTAATACAACTATAAAATTCAATTTTCTCCCCAAAAGATTGGTTTTCTAAGCAGCAAGCATTATGGAAAAATTATTGTGAAAGGGTAGTTGAAATCAGTATTTTGATCAAGTTCATGCGTTCTAAATTCAGTGTCATGGTTTATATTTTCAAACCACTTGTCTTTGATATGGTTAAGTAATTCATTATGGAAAACATTATGGAGTATGTAATCTGATGAGGTTATTTATTGTGATGAATCTCTAACAGGGAAAGCAACCTATGGCATCCCAGTTATAGAAATCACATTCCAGCAGTCCCAGCCAACGTAGCTTAATAGTGAGGGATGCTGGGAATCAAAATTAAGTAACATCTGGAATACCACAGATTACTGAATCCATGCTTAATATAATGGATGTTTGTTTACTGCACACATACACACACACATACAAACACAGAAACCTGAGAACCAAATCCAAGTTTATTTTCCCATTACAATTCTAAGAATTGGTATGAAATATTGTTCTAAATTAAATACTAATTTCAAATATTTCAGTTTATTTTTACATTAGCCTTTTTGTGTGTGACATACTGAGTAGCAAAAATAAAATTCCATTGTATAACTGATCACAATAAAGTAAACAAGCTATGTACAAAGGGAATATTGCATGTTTATAAATTCACACGTCTACCAAGGCTGCGATGGAACTAAGCATGTATTCTTGTTTATTCCAACCAACTCAAGAAAAAGTGTATTACAGATGAAATATCAATGGTTTCTTTTGTTTGTTTGACTACTATTCAGACTTTAAAAATTGTTACTTTGGTTTTTTTCTTTTATCTTCTTCAGATGGTTTAGAAAGACTTTTTGCTAACTTCTTTACTTCTTTATCTTTGTCATTAGCTAATACTTTTGTATCCTTATCTTTATGATTTTTGTCTAACTCAGATTTTTCTTTTCCAGTTTTTCTATCTTGCTTAATTTTATGAGAATCTTTTTTTGATTTATCATCGATTTTCTCGTTCTTTATATCAAAGTCCTCAATTTTTTTCTTTGTCTTCTTCTTTTCTTCTTCTTTGGCATCTTTCTTTAATTGCTGCTTTTCTTTTGTTTTCTTGGCTGATTCTTTGATCACTTTTTCATTATTTAAAAAAAGGAAAATATTTTTTTAAAATTAAGACACTATTTATTAGCATGCAAGTTCAAATCATGAATTCATGTTTCCACTTCAAAATAAGCTGTTCACATATTAGTAAAAGCAGAAAAATATATATAATTTATAGCCTTTTCTGTCTTTTGTTTACTTTTATGGGAAAGTGTCTCTTAGGGTTGTTTACTTTTATGGGAAAGGGTCTCATTATCCTTGTTGATGTCTTTCCTACTTAAATGTTTAAAATTAAATTTTGTCACACCTATCTTCTTAAGTAGTAGGGTTATCTTTATACAATACTTGTACAATATAATACAGTGTAGTCCTTTTTTAATGACCACAACTGGGATCTTCACTAAGTGACACCGTTGTTAAGAGTGAGGTCTTACAATTTACTGAAGGCTGTTCCATTGAGTCTGCTTATCTGAAGCCAAATGTGAAATGTGCAAATGCCAATGCCAAATGATTGAACTGCAAAACTAAAACAATTACAGGAAGACTACTGAATGGAACTGGGTAGTATAAGTCTAATACCTCAGTCTTCTGTTACTTTCACACAGGGTCCCAGTTCATTCCTGCTTTCTATTCTTTTACCACTTTGTTATATGTTCTTTTATGTACACTGAAATCAGAGGTATACTGCAGGTGTAGCAGTTTACTGAAAAGCAGGCCTTTTCCGTAGCAGTCTATGGCAGCAGTCTCCAATTTTTCCAGCTGTGTAGACTGGCTGTGGAAGCAGTGGAGGGAGATGTTTTGCACGCGTGCCCTCCGCTTGTGCAAATGGGGCTTCATGCGCTCCTGTTGCTTGTGTGGCCCTGTACTCAAACAGTAACCAATTGGGCTTGGGAACCCCAGGTCCATGGAACATCCTTCTCAGTGAAGTATACCTGACATGGATTTTACTACACTTTTTAATGTCAAGTGAAGATGTCTTGGTCATATGTCACTGTTCAGATATCAGTTATTTAAGCTGGTACTCTAATGTTCTTTATTTTAATAACTGTTTTTATTACTTCGTTTTATTTTTTTTACTGTATTTTAAGCTACCTAAAACTTTATTCTGATGTTTCAAATTTCAATATTACTGTGATTTTGATTAATATTTGGTTATTGATATATTATATTACTGGAGGGTTACTTTAATTTTACCTGGGCCATTCAGATACACAGCTATGAAGTGGATGGCTATATTAGTTGTTTAAAGAAAGAAAGAAACAATGACAATGACTATGCTAGCTGTGAGGTGTAGGTTCTATACATCCACAAGGAACCAGCTGGGAAAGGTTGATGTCAAGTATTTTTTTTTAGAAAATGTTAAGTTCAGCACTGGCATTAACTTTAGCAACTTGATGACATTATAGACTCTGAATGTGATTAGTCCAATATTAAAGATATTCTCTTGACTCAATTT